GTTCTTGTCATCAATGAAGATGAATTTCTGTGCTTGGCCAAAGCATTTTGTGACAAAGGCTGTCAGCCTACAAGGGTAAAGAGGAAAATGTAGCATGAAGGAGCATTTCCAGGTGAGGGGGCAATTGTTCTATAGCTTATTCTGGTGTATGGTCCAGAAGGGGAGTGGAGGACTCATAATGCCTTAAGAGGCCTAAAAAAGAAAGGCATAAATGGGCAGTACTATGAGGACAAGAACTGGGGAGGAAGAGGGCAGAGTAGGGGTCCGGACCATAGATGAGGATGAAGAGGTAGAAGTCTGAGTGTAAGAAGGAATGGGGTTAGGAAAAAGCAGAAGGATAGTTCCCAAGGGCTCAGGAATTAAGAATGCACTGGGAATCGGGTAATATTACCATGTGTTTCCATTTCCATCCTGCTCCCCAAAGGCGCTGTATGAGCCGTTACTATGTTTGTACACCAGCTCCTTCTGGTACCCTAGGAAGCCAGATGTAGTCTTCAATCACAATTTTCTGACAATTTAAAAAAACACCCCCCTCCCTACCTTTCAAGGATGTGGAACCCTTTGGGGGGAGGGGGTTAGAACTTCCCTGTGTCTTATCAGCCTGTCATATTCCCTGGAGGAGAAGAGTGTCCCAAAAAGAAAGAATAAACCAACTTACCTATCTCCAGGAAACCCACTGCCCGAGACCTGATGTCCTCAGTCAGCAGCCCTGCCTTCTCCAGGTACTGCAAGACATAGATAATTGGAGCAAAAAGGACCATATTCTGTTCCCCACAACCACTGGGCATCTGCACCAGACTGTCTAGGTTCTGCAGAGCTGTGCCCATAATATCTCCTGGGATACAAAAGGAGAGAGAGAGAGAGAGCAAGTGGTGAGAGAAAGAGGATGGAACCCTAGACGATTATGATCATTCAGTTAACAAATGTACGCTAACATACATGCTATCATTTAGTAAGAACCCACTACTGCTGCCACAGTCTCTACCTTCAGTCAGAGGCACAAACACTCATGACACATTACAATTATAATTCATTATAAACAGTTTTAATATAGTACTACAATAATGCCTTAGGTATGTACAGGGTGCTGGATCACACAGAGAGGTGCATAGGCCAACTAAGGGAGTTTGGAGCTTTTAAAAAGACACGTCACTGAATTGACGAATGATGCAACAACCTACAATACAGAGACTCAATCTCTAAGTTCTTCCGCTGCATATAAATTCATCACCCTCCAAATCACCAAATCTCTCCCAAACACACAATCCTGAGGCTTTTCCAAGTTATGTCTACTGACTCCTCTAGCCTGAGCAAAGTGAGTCATTAAGATCTGCATTTTAGCCACTGAGCACAATTCAAATCTTTTCTTTTTGTTTTTGAAAACAGTCTCACTCTGTTGCCCCAGGCGAGAGTGCAGTGGCCTCATCACAGCTCGCTGCAACCTCAAACTCCTGGGCTCAAGCTTCCTGAGTAGTTGGGACTACATGTGTGCACCAAAACACTTAGCTAATTTTTCTATTTTTAGTGGAGATGGGTCTCGCTCTTGCTCAGGCTGGTCTTGAAATCCTGAGTTCAAGGGATCTGCCTGCCTCAGCCTCCCAGAGTGCTAGGGTTACAGACATGAGCCGTGGTACCCAGCCCTTAAATCATTAAATATGTCCAGAGTGTCAACTACGTTGCAGAAACTATACCAAAAACAAACAAAAAAATAAAATGTGGTCTTTGCTGTGAAGGAGCCTACAACACAGTGTGAAAGACAGACATAGAAGGGAGCTATGACACAATCAGATGAGTCCAAGATCAGAGTATAAATAAAATAAAGTCAAAACAGAGAAATTTTGACCTGGGAGGGATCTTGGTGGGGTGAAGAAACTACCATTCATAGAACTTCTATGTACTAAATAGTATACTGGGAACATTGTATTACATTTCATCTTCACACCAATCCTGAGAAATAGGTTATTATCAATCACTGTTTTACAAATGAGAAAAAAAGAATCAGGGCTAACTTCTTCATAGTGACATAGCCATTAAACGACAGGTTTGAATTTCATGCTCCTGCTTTTCTATTTGCTTCCTCTCCTTGCCCAAAGCAGTAAAGTCTGCGTTTTATCAAATATGATTATATCTTCCTTAAACTACTCGATTCTCCATTGTTTAAATGGTTGCTGCAAACATTTTATCTTCCCTTCAGCCAATGTATAGATTACTCAATCTTTTTTTTT